TGACATTAATATAACTCAACAATAATATAATATGAAATCTCGTTAAGAATTATGGTGACAGAATTTCTGCAAAATTCTATCTCAATTTAAAAAAAAAAAACGTCAGATAGAATTATTATTCCACTGTACATTCTAGAGTTTCGATTTCGCCTAACAGTAACTTGCAATTTGACATGCGGGGAAAAATGGCGATTTTTGTTTCACAGCGTGGCTGCGAATTCAACCGAAAGTTACGATGTCCATCAAATATTTGGCTTCCACCTTTCGCGTGTATAATCGTGAACGGTCCGTTTCTCCATCAAGCTCATCCACCACGCTGAACGTCCGCTCACTCGCAATTTAAACTTTAAAGCGCGAAAGCTGTGGAACAATAGCGGCCGCGATACAGAATTGCGGACAAAAGATATGCATTATAGACTGGCTCCGGAAAAAAAGTAGAGGATCTCCCAATTCATTCGAAACTGCGGCAACTACAATATCAATTAAACGTTCGAAATGTAACATTCTGGAATCACGTAAAAGGGAAAGGATAAAAATGGAATGAGAGGAAAAAGAAGTTTAACTGGAAATCAGTCAAACTTCTCATATAACATTCGGTGGCACGTAATAATTAATCTTTTGAAATGTGATCTTTTAAAATTATGTTGATGCTGGAACATCCGCGATTTATTGCGGGACAACATAATTGGTATTCATCGACGTGTGATGCATGTAATAATAATTGTAATTATAATAACAATAATAAGGATAATAATAACAATAATAGTAAACCACAATAATAAGAGATTGCGCAATTTCATTGCTCGCACGTTATAACTGTGTCTCGTATTGTATTCGTAACGTTTATTCCAAATTCCGAGAGCTTTTATACAACGTCGCCAAATATCCGTAGGCTATTTTGCGCTTTACTCGCGTTTTTTATTTTTTTTAATATTTTATGTCAATTACTCGATTTCCTGGCTGTTCGTTTGAAAGCGAAAAAGCAATTCACATTAATGAAATGTTCGTAAAGGTCCGTCTTTTTACTGCAATTGAATTCTATATTCAACGGAGATTCATCCAATTTTATTCGTATCGTTCATTATCACATAGACGAGACTTCACTTAGGCGAGCCCAGTCGCTGTAGTTTATCGAAATTCTCCTTTGTACCTCGGTATCGCCATCGAAAGTCGATCGAGGTGGCACGAATTCTAGCGGAAACTTTGTAACTGCACGTCGGGAACAGAAAGCAGCGGTCAAGCTTACTTAGCTCGACAGTGGCCATTCTTTCCCACTTTTTCCCCGCGACAAAAATTCCTTTATTACGCTGCTTCTGAAAAGTGTCAACCCGTTAAAGCGGCATTACGTCGACACAACGCCGGGGTGAGAAAACGAAAACCGGCAGCTTTTTTTTTATAGCGGACACTTCAGCGCGTTTCGCATACTGTAAAAAATATTAAAGATTCATATATATACTCAAAATATTACGGAGAATAAAAATAATCCGTCAAACTTTCAAATAAAAATCAAACCGAAATTCGCAAAAAAATACGCCCGTAAAATGTTATTCTGTGACTACGTTATATTAATATACGTATATCCTAATTTCAAGTTTATATAATATTCTTCTTTTTTTTTTTGCTTCAGATTATCTAGATTTATTCTCTGAAGCAACGAGACATATTAATACAATCAGTTATAAGGAAATTACAATAATTCATACATATATTTATACGTGGAAATATACAGTATCAATTTAACATTCATTATATAACTTTGAGAAATAAAAAGAATCTTTTGTTATTACGTTTTAACGAGCGCGACAGCTGCGGCTTAGAAACTCTAATAAATCGCTCAGTTTACATACTGAAACGTATTTCTCTGATTCGCGCCAATTTTTAACGAGGAAAACTGCCGGGATCAGCGGCAGTCGGAAACCGAGCATCGGAAACCGTGAATCCGGAAGCGCAAATGCAACATCGGGTCGCGCGTGAGCTTGCACGCTAATTGAAAGCCCGCGTTCGTGTACTCGCGCTCGCGTGTGACCTAAACCGCATCGAGTTAAAAGTTAAATAAATGTCGAATTTAATTTGACCATCCACCAAAGCTGTGTTGTACACAGAGTGTCGGAAAATTGGCGGAAAGTGGCCGCACTTCCTACGAACTTTCTGGAATCGAGTTTTGTCTGCTAGGATAACAACATCGAAAAACGTTCGCTAACAAATTTTTATTTTTATCTACCTTTTTTTAGTTTTAAAGAGAGAGAGAGAGAGAGAGAGAGAGAGAGAGAAGAAAAAGTAAAAAATTTAAATATTTCTTAGCGCCTGCGAAACTTATCGTCTAAAGTGATAAAAGGAAGAGGAGAAAAATGAATGAAATAACTATTTGTTTGATCTTTTTCGGGGAGTCTTCTTTGACAGTTTCTGATGTATGTACGTGGATTTCTGACCTCGAAGCAATTTCGATTGTCTCCTCGGAAATAAATTTCACGCGAAATTCCCCACTTCTTCTTCTCTTACAGGAGTGAACCGCGAGTTTTCTTCTTCGAAGGATTCGGTTACGGCGTTTCTGGATGTTATCGATCGTCTCAAAATAATGTCCTTTCGGGTGATTCCTCGGTCTACCGAGGAGGAAAGAAGTTACTGTTTGGCGGCGAAGGCAAGTACGCTGGGAGCACTGAAGTGTTTTTGGGGTAGCA